GAATGAAAAGGATCCCTCTGGAAATCGGCTGTCACATTTGCAAAGCTCTTTTGTAATTCTTTTCTGGCAGCTCTTTTTTCCTGCTTTACTGCTCGTGCCTGGCAGGGTTTGTGATTCTTCCCAGAGGTTCAAACACGATATTCCTCACCCTGTGTGCATGGCCCCCACAGCAGCGTGCTCCCCAGAGGGTGCCCTTGGGGGGAACAGTGCCCAAGCCCAGGATTGGGGGGCTCTGCAGCCAGCAGAGAGAGCCAAAGAGCTCAGAGAGCCCTGCTCGAGGTCCGTGTGTGCCCACATACTGAGGATGGGGGTCCTCTGAGCCAAGAGCTGTTCCACCTCTGGCTACAACCACAGGGAGATGGGCTGCAGTCAGAGGTCTTTTCCATGGAGCAGAACTTTTGGGGGCAAGAGCTGTGTCAGGATGCAGGCAGTGCAATTACACTGACAAGGATTTTTTTTTCCCAAACTAAATGCCTGCTTCTCATTTCTAAAGGGCATTTCTAATGCCACAGCTGCCAGTTTTTAATGTGCCAGAATTAAGTTAAATAACATGATAATAACTTAAGTGTTCTACCTAGGGTAAAATGCAGTGGGTTTTGTCCTAATGGCAAATTTCAAGAAACTGCTTCCATGTAAATTTTCTTCCCTTGGCATTTTTTGTTTTTCATCCTCTCCTTATTCACTCAGATCTTCTGAAACGTCACAGTCTAAGCAGCAGTGGCAGGGGCAGAGGAAGGAATTAGCCTGTTCAAAACAGCTGGGGATCTTCCTGAAGAACACATGAGGATGCTGGGTCATATTGCAAAACAGGAACCTGGCAGGTCAAGAGTTTCTTCAACAATGTGCTTCAATGAGAAACCTCAGCATGGTTCGAACACAAGATGTGAAGTCTCTTGTCAGCATTCAGAGATGCACCCTTGCAGCCAGAGCCCACCTGCTCTCAAGGAGGAAATTTCAGTTGTGGATATGGCTCCTCAGACATTGCCTCCACATGCAAGAAAGCAAGTGAGCAGGCTGTTGTGCAGAAAACACAATCTCTTTAGACTGAAAGATATAATCCAGTTAGATATGAACCCTGAATTCCAAACTCTGCTTATCTCCTCAGACAGTGATGACACATGTCATAACGTCACCTCCACCATCAATTCCCTTATTTGTCACATTAGCAACGGTGATACTGACACCGGCAACAAGGCAAAAAAAAAAAACTGAGGAGATCCTGAGACAGAGGAACAAAGTAGAAGCCATGTCTGGGCACATTAATGAGTTCCTTGTAGCCAGCTTTCAATCAATCAAGTTTATCAACCAGCGGCAGGAAGAAGATAAGAAATGAGGGAAGGAACAAATCATTCAGCGATGTAATTGTGTCATCCTGTAACTCTGTCTTCCAGGAGAAGAAACTGGCTCAGGAGGCCTTACTGGAAATGCTTAAGGATGGAATGAACAACCTCTTTACCTTAGTGCTAGAATTCCTGAATGGAGACATAGGGGAAAATCAGAAACTAACACAGCCATTAATGTCCTCATGAAGGGGGTGCTGTAAAAATCTGACCACATGCTGATCTTTTGTGCTCCAAGGCAGCCTGATTGCTGAGAGCAAGCCAGATAAGTTTTCTGAGCTGATGGACAAGTGGCTGTGAAAGATCAGGTGGCTTCTGCCAGGTACCATCGGCAGCAACCTGGATGCAATCCTGCTGCATGCCCACACGCTCAGGAAGATTTTCCTAAGGAAACACTGAGGCAGCACATGAACAAACTCCCACTGCAGACCCTGAAAACTGTTGCATAACTTGTGCAAAAGTGAGGATGCTGGGCCACCTCACCCCGACTCGGGTGCATCTGGCTCTGAGGTGGAAGCTTCCCTCCAAAAGACAAACAGTCCTACTGCCAAGCACAGGGCAATGGAACAACTGTAGGAGCAGGAGGGGAGGGGCCCAGGGCAGCTCACAGGATTGCAAAGCACAAAGAATTTTCTCCAAATAGAGTTTGAAGGTCTAGAGGAGTTATATATATGAATGTAAGAAAAAGTGGCCTAGAGGAAGTTGGAGTTTTTCATAGAAAACCTCTCCCTGTTCTTGCAGAGCTGTGTGAAGCAAAGCCTGGCCATCATCCAGACAGAACAGGACACTAGAGAAGCTTCCTTCTCCTCCTCCCTTGGGGAATACCCTGAGGTGGGAACATCTCCTCTTAGATCCACAGAGATCACAGGAGGGTCCATGAAGGGGAAGGAGTTGATGCCATCCTGCCACCTGGAAGACTGCAGCAACAGCCATTACCCTGCAGAAGCAGCACAGCCCTGCAAGCTGAACAGCCCACAAGAGGTTCCCTGCCAGTCAGGTCCCCTCAAAGGATGCCAATATCATGATTCTCCCTGGGGGCAGGAAGAACACTAGCAGGAAAAGTACTGGGACCTCAGAATTATCCAGGTCTCCTTCACACACACATCAGCAGGCAGATAGTGAGAACCACAAACCAATAAAGAATGAACTCCAGCATGAATAACCATGTGAGTTATCTCTTTTTGCCCTTTGAAAAAAGTAAGGTGGGTGACATTGATACCTCGGGTCAAAACTGAGCACAGAGCACACAGATCTGGCCAGGGCAGAAAGCCAGCTGGGTGCTGACCCTTCCTGGACAGCCTTCACAAGAGCCCCGCCATGGCATCTTCCAGCATTCTAATATTCATAGTTAGCAAAGTATCAGACCAACCGTGCCCTGGTTCCCAGATGAGGGAGAGATCAGGGCATCCAAACAGCATCTCTGCCTTCCTGAACACTGACCACCAGGGACCCTGCCAGAGACAAAGGTTGCAAGAGGAAGGTGATAGGAGAAAGTGATTTGTAAAAGTTGCGTGTTTCTCTTAGGTAAAATCAATATATTGACTTTCAAACCCACTTTCACTTGTCAGACTGAAAGGGTTTGAGAGAGCAGAGCTGCTCTGGACGACTGCAGAATGCCAATGCCTCACCCTGCCCATCCATCAGCTCCACTTTTCCGACTAAACTGCTATTCTCATGTAAAATCGCCTTAATTTGTCTTTAACACCACTCTTGTCTCTAAGTTCTTTAGGTGGAAGTCCTTAGCTTTGTGTCAGGTATAACAGTAAGCACTTCAATGATGCTCACTAAATTACATGGCTTTTTTACTAATAGACAATTCAGTCAATTACAAAATGCTATTAAGCATTTGTGCTCGGGCAGAGCGAGCTAGGTGCCTGGTGAACATGGCAAACCAATATTTTTAATTAAAATAAGAAAAAAGGAACACACAGGCTGATTACCAGCCAACAAGAAAATTACCTCCCAGAGATCTCAAAGTGTAATTACCCTTTCTGAATGACCAAAATGACTGGTTTGCTGCAGACTGTAATTCTCTCTAATGCTGCTACAAAATCATGGCCACCCTCTCGCCTATCCCATCCATCCAGTGCTGTACCTGCCCAGGGGCTGCTCAAGTACTCATGAAATCATGCTTTGGTTTTCATATGTGGTTCCTGCCTAATTTTCTGGCTGTGTAGCTGGAGGATTCACAATGAGGACATGGCTGATGGCTGCAGACGTTCTGTTCTTTTGTTCCTTGCTGCTCTGTCCTTGTGACACCCCCTGTTTTTGTGCTAAAGGACATACCTGGAGTGGAGCTGTGTCACTTACATGCAGCATAATTGGCTGCCCTGCATGTGGTCTTCTAAGAACAAATTCATATCCGTGTTGAACTCTCAGGTCAGGCAACTGGATGTGCTGTTCCAGGTGGCTTCCTCCAGTGCTGTGCTCCCTTTTTCCTAGTAGCAAGTGCCCCATAAGCATTCATTCCTGGAAATGCTCTCTACAGATGCCCAAACACCATTCCAGTATAGTTACCTGATAAGTCTGTCCATCCACTGCCTTGTGACTCAGTCCACACTGAAATTTGCCCAGTAAGAATGTTCCCTTTGCAAAAGCCTCCCTGGCCATGGGCTCTCACCAGGCTTCTCCCTGCCCCACACAGCAGCTGCAGTGCTGCATCTGGCTCACTGCTCGAGGAAAAGCCATTAAACAACTGACAGAACTAATATGGTGATGCCACACACTATGTGTATCCAGGGGGCACGTGCAGGCTCCTTTTCTATTATGCTGAAGGTCTGATCCATTCCTTAAGGGTTCCAGAGACTGTAGGAAACAGGGGAAAGTGAAGTGTTTGGAAGCTTTGCAATATTTGCCCGGCAGGCAAACTGTGCATTCATGCTATCAGAGTGCCTCAGAGACCTTGCCAGCCATCAGAAGCCTCCTGTAGTGGGTGCAGAACAAAGTCAGGGCAAGTGACAGTCCCTGTCCTGCAGATACTGCCTGTGACGGGAGATAAACACATCAGCAGAGATGCCTGGAGTCCAACCGGAGCAAGCAGCCTCTCAAATATTCTCAGCAGCAGTGCTCTCTCAGGTGCCCCAGAGCTCAGCCCCAGAGCAGCTCTCAGGAGTGCCCTGAGCACTCAGATCATGATCTCTGCAAGTCATTCTTGCTTGCAGCTCCTTGCCCCTGGCAGACAACAACATGCAATGGGGTACCATGGGTCTAAGTGCTTATTGTGGAACTTACACCACAGCAGCAGGTTCCTGCCTGTGAAGCAATGGTTAAGGAATGGGTCCTAACACACAGCATGATGCTCTTGCCAGCTCCACAGGCTGAGTTGTGCTGGATAACAATTCAATTTCCCCCTCCTGCCGCCCAGCCAGACAGTCCTCCAGGCTGTTCATCCTCCCCCACAGCCCTGGGGAAGAAAAAAGAGCAGAAGAGCACCTGGGTCACGAGACAAAGAAGGAGAGCTACAAAGATCTCATAAGGGAAAGCTGACCTGGTACCTTTTGCTCTTTCCTGGTTCAGTCCTCTTCCATTTGCTGGAATCACAATCAAACTGTGTTCTCAGGAGGTACCAGGGTCAGGGAGATCAAGGAATTATAAATAAATACAGTATAAACAAATCAATCAGAGGGATAAAAACATTTAACAGAGACACAGTAATTAAAAATATAATAATCCAGATAGTGGACATTTATTCAAAATGGTGCAATTACAGCTTTTAATCATCCCAGTTTAAATTAACAGCAGCAGTGAAGTGGCTGCACAAATGTGTTCTCTGTAATGAACTGATATTAGAAAGCCAGCCTGGTGATCTCTCCCTCTCTCGGGCTAATTCTCCCTCCTCTCATTGTAAAATAACCTTTTGGTGTCATTTTCTTGTAGAGTCTTGAAGATGAAGACACAATATTGGAGCTAAATTAAATCCCCTTCACATATTTCTCTTCTTTCAAGCTGTAAAAATTGCTGGTATCAGTCATTCAATCTCTAGTGCTGACGCAACCACACTTGAGGAGAACATCTGGGGGCCCCAAGAGTCATTATAGGGAAAATAAAATCCTATATTACAATCAGTCAGCAATTAAAAGGCAGGATGCAGGAGGGCAAATCCTGCAAGATGCTGAGCAGGCTTGATGGGGAAATCAAATGTTAGACCTGTGATGCTCTGAGGGTCTTTTCTTCTCAACCAAGTAATTTGAGAGGAGGTTAGAAAATTTCTACATCTGCTCCTGCCCAGCACAAATGGTCTTGGAAATAGCTTGTTTTAATGAGAGTCAGTACTGATCCAGAGGCCACAGGTTTCATACCAACTGGTCCCATCTGCAGGGCTGTGGGGCCAATCTTGCCTGGCTTGACAGGTCCCCAGCAGGCTTGGGATTCAAACAGCCATGGTGTGATAAAGGCAACACTCAGTTGGCCATGTGAAGCCCACGCGGTTACAGTGGGCTCAACTCAGGCACAGGAAAGCCAGAGACAGGAAAGCTCTCTGCCCCTGGTATGGTTCTGAGTTAAGAACACAATGGGTCTGATCTGCCTGGGCAGCTGCCGTGGCCTTTCTCCCACACGTGGATCTCCATTCCCCTGTGGATGCACCTTTCCTACAGAAAGCCCTGTGTCCACCAGACAAGGTGCTGAGGAGCTCACTGCACTAGTGGGAGGGAGCAGAACTACAGACATGTGGCAAGTGAAACTGTTGGAGGAGAATCTTTCAGACATGGCTGTCCTGAGATGGATTCAAACTCGCAGCCAAGGAGAGACAATTCCCCAGTCCCTGCTAAAGCTCTGCTGCCCTGCAAGCCCTGCTCTGCCAGCCAGCAAGAGCAGCTCTGCCCTGACCCTGCCTTCACTCTGGCCCTGTGTCATCCTCAGCACAGGGAGAGTCACAGCAGGCCAGAATCCAACCCAAAAGTTCCTGAGCTCAAGACTCAGCTCCCAGCAATGTCCCACAACTCCTGCTGGTGACAGCACAGTGCTGGTCCTGCTCACAGTGGTAGGATGCTCCACACCTCAGCTGGATTTGCTTCAAGACTGCAAGAAAAGGTACAATTAAAAAAACAACATTACAGAAACAATTTTGGAGGTATGGAAGGATTTCTGTGAGGGAAATGACTACCATGCAGGAGAGTAGATGTGTGACTCTGCGTGAGTAACACACAGCTTCTCCCAGAGCTGCTCACCCACTCCTGGATTCTGCCCATGGTCACCTACCTGCATCCCTAGTCCTCAGCACACGATTAAAATCAGGAGCCCTTTGGAAAGAGAATTTCATCTCATTAGCAGCAAACCTTCCTCTCCTTCCTGTTTACCCAAAGGGTGTGCAAACATACAGCGAGAGAGCAAGAGTCACACAGCCCTCACTGCTGTGGTGGGCCTGCAATTACCTGGCATGCACATTAAGATTAATAAATATTAACTTTACTTATGTTTATACTGTCCACTTAAAATGGAAACAACGCGCTTTGCTACTTAATCAAATTAGAGCTATAAAATTATTTCCCTTTTAAAAGGTTCATTTTTGTTTGGTTGGCAATTAATGTTGATGATTTGAGTTCCATCTTCAAAGCATTTTGAAATACAGAAAAATGGCAGAAGTGCAACAGGGCTTTAATGGAGTCATAGCACACATCAGGTAATAAAGCATAACAGACCGTTTACTTTGAGTACTCTAATTATTTAAGAGCTTTTTTTAAAAACAGAAAATCGACATGTGAAAACTGTAATTTCACTTGAATTAATTTTTTAAAAGAAGCTGGAAAAACCAAACAAATCAATAAACAGAAAACCTGTTTTCAAAATTTCAAAAATAAAAAGAAAACCTGTTTCTTTCCAATTCCCTGCAGCCAGGCCAAGTCCTAGGATGACACTGAGGAGCAAATTTTCCCTTTTGTTTTTCTCTAGCTTTTCTCTCTTCAGGGTGTGCAGGACAGGGATGACCAGTTGCACGCTGGGTCCTCACACAACCCCTCCTGCACCATCACTGAAAACATCTCAAGGAATCAGTGCACCTTCTTGTAGGTGAAGGTGCATTGTCCCACCCCTCTCTGAGCTGCAGGGGACAAAGTCACTGTCATTGCCTCATCTAAGGGACACAAAAACCCTTCAAGAGGTTTAGCACAACCAACAAAGTATTTATCAGCTGTACCTCAGTCTGGGACACAACTCTCTGGTGAGGCAGAGTGCATCTCCCACAGCTTTCTTGCCTCTGCAGAACTAGCAAGGTTTAACTCCTCTTCTTTTCAAACCAGCACCAGAGCAGCAGCACAACTGAGGCAGGATGGGACTTCTGGAGGTCTCTGCTCCTCCCCCCTGCAGAAAGGGTCCAGCTTTACAGTTAGATTATGTTGCTCTGGTTTTGTCATTCTGAGTTTTTAATATCTCCAAAGACAGAGATTCTCACAGTCACCATTTGACTACAGCCACAGAGAAGACAAAATTACATGGAAGACAAAATTACATGAAGAAAGGCTGGTTCCAGCAAGAAGAAGCAAGATCACACAAAGAAGAAGGAGGAGCAGAATCTGGCCCCAGATCTGGTGGCCTGGTTTCCTGAAGCACAGCTGTTCCCCCATTGCAGTACATGGGTTGCTTCACAACTAAATCTATTTGCAAGGCAGTACAAGCCAAGACAAATTTGCCCCCAAAGTAATAACTTTTCAATTACCTTCGTTATGCCTTGCTCAACACAACAGCACAGCACCTCTTGAGGGAGCAGCTGAGTATTTCTCTCCAGGGTGCACATTTATTATTTTAAGAATCATTTAATTTTCCATCTGAACAAAAGGGGCAAATGTAGGTCCTGAATGACTCCAGGGCCCTGTTCAATACATTGCTGTGTTATCCATCACAGCAATTACACGTGGTAATTCATCTCTGAGAAACTTCAGTGTGCAGGTCTGAGAGCATTTGACATATCTGGCATGGCTCAAAACTCTGGGAGCCCATGGGAAAAAGGGATCATGACTGGGAAATGTGCCATTACACCCAAGAAACTCAGGCAAAAGTTTCAGTACTGGGACTTTTGACACACCAGCAGCCTGGCTCCCAGAACCTTTCCCAAACTCTTGCTTCCCATAGCACACACTCATCCCTCCAAGCTCCATTGCTGGAGCCAATGGGATTCACAGTATTTGTGTGGTGATGTTCCTCACAACAGGTTCCCTGTGGCTTTGACAGTGAGAGAAATGTGACTGAACACCAGCACAGCAAACAGTCCATCAGAGACACCATTTACTCTCTGAGGTCTGTGTGTCTGTTACTCTCTGAGTGTCCCTAATTCACCGTCCCCATCAGTGACCTGCAGGGCTTGAACCAAAACACACCAAGGGACAAATAGGAAAATTACCATTTCCATACCTAAAGGAATTACCAAGACAGTTCTGATCCTATAGCTGAGATCTCTCCATGCTTCCAACCACCCTCTGCCATCTTTATTTGCTTCCCAGTATCCATTTAGAAAAGGCTGCCTGGGACAGAGATGCTGCTGTGGGCTGTGAACTTGTCTTTGTCACAGATCTATCCAGGATCAGATATTCAGGATATTCTCCAGATTCTCCTTACCTGGCTGCCTGTCAGTGGTGAGAGCACAGTCCTGGTCTGTAAGGCTGGGCCCTGAGCACCGCACACAACTTCAGGGTGCTCATTAAGAAACTCTTCTTTGTCAGGTGAGAGTGAGTGAGCTCCTACCAGCTCCTCAGAAGCAGAAGGAACAGTCTCAGAGGAAGTAACAGAGCTGTGGCCAGACTCAGAAAATAATGAGAACCTCAGCTTGCTTCAAAATGCTTCAGCTAGAGGTACATGCCTCGTGCTGGTAGTCCACTCTGCATGACTGTGTCAAGGGCTGATAACTCAGGAATCCCCAGACATTCCCCTCAGTGCTACTGCCACTCTGTCAGCACTCAGCAGTGATGAAAGCAGACTGCAAACTGGGCACATGAAAGGTGTCCTGACTCTGTGATCACACATCTAAGGAATACCCCCTCTGCAGAGCCCTGAGCCCACCACACAGGCTCATCTGTCACCAGGCACAAGAAATGTCTGCTTCATTAGAAAGTTAAAGGTTAGCAGTAGTTTTTATTGGGTCATATTTGCTTCATTATGGTTATTTGTTTTCCTGTCCTGCCCAGGCAGGTCAGCAGAGTGAGCATCCTCACAGATCCCAAGGAAGGGTTGGCTTGAGTCCTTAGTAAAGGAAAAGGTGAAAGTCAGTCCCTGGGATTCTATTTCCCTGAGTCCCAGGAAGATTAAAGGTACTGAGTAGAGAGTCTGGTTGCATGTTGGTCTTTGTTCAGGGAAAGCCAGGCAACAGAGAAGCAGTGGTTTTTAGTAAAATCTTAAGTTTAGAAATATTAATTTGACCCTTTATTTTGACTTTGTGGACTACACAGCTCTGACTCTCCCAGTTTTTGAAAGGTAGAAATGACAAGCAGATCTGCATAATGCATAGGTGAGTTCTCCACAGAGCTCACGTGAGGTGACCTGGATGTTTGGCTAATTGGAAAATCATCTCTGCCAGGTAAAGGGCTGCTCCTGAATTATCATTTCTCAGAGTATCATCACTAGCAGGGGAGCAGAGAACAGATACCTCAAGTGTTTGCATTCCTGGCTCCTCTCCTTTCTCTACCCAGCTGGCAAACAATTTATTTCTTTACAATTCCCCAAATTATCAAGTCTGGAAATGCCTGGCTGCTGTGTCATTTAGCAAACAGTCCCTCACAGTGCCAGAAAAGCATGTGTCACTTGGCTCAGTGAGGAGAGAAGCATGGCAATGCTCAGATGTTGTCATTATTCCCAGTATCATGCCCTATCAAATTGTCCAAGGAATGTGGCTTTTCCACAGCCCACCTGAGCTGGCAGTGCTTGTGCTGGATGTGTGTGCAACTGGGAGCCATCTCCTCTCCCTGCAGGAACAGGAGCAATCTCCTGCTGCTACTTGCTACTTCGTGTGACATTGTGTTTGTGGCTAGAAGGGCAAGAACAGGTCTGAAAACGAGTTCAATTTGTAATGTGCACCTTTTCTGCCAATGAAGAGATCCCACATCCTCTGAAAGTGCCACATACCAAGTGACTGATGTCCTGTATGCACAACTCCTCCCACTGCTGAAGACTTTGCTGTGTCTACCAAAATATTTGGCTGGGATTTTTAAGCCAACACCCTGTTGTCTGATACAAACCAGGTTATCACATTTGGGTGAAGGCTTCCCAAACTCTTTTTAGATTTACAAGTGGATTAATTCTCCTTTACCACCTTGGTGCACTTCTGCCACAATTCATCGATGGCTCAGTGAAGCAGAGGACACAAGTGCCTTTGCCAACAGAGTGGACCAGCAGCAAAGAGCTTCTTTGCTGCTATACTTAAACCTCTGCAAAGGCTAAATCAGGACGAGTGCAAATACAAAACATGAGGCATGTGTAGCTCTCATCTGCCTCCATCTCCCTCTTGAAAAACAAAGCACTTAAGTCTAATTGTGTGGACTGGCTGTCAGCTACAGGGATGGCAGCAGGGTGAGTTGCAGAGCAAGGAGCTTAGCAGATTTTTTCAGCAGTGTGGGGTAGGCTTTATCCCAGAATATCAGAGCATGTGAGCACTGCTAGACACATGAAACAGGGAGAGCTACTGTATTTTGTTAGCACCGACAGACCTAGGAGCTGTGTAGAGATGCTGATCTCCCAGAGTCTTGCACAGATTAAGATGTGGTAGAGTGAACTTTTTTCCATTTTCCAGCATCATGTTTAGAGGATGCTCTTTGTTTCCTTTTGCTGATGACTGGAGTATAGCCACTATAAACATTTGATACCATGCAGGGTACACAGAAATAACAAGAAAATAACATGCCTAATTAGCCTCGTGGATTATTTTAACCAGCTCCCTCTGGAATACCCTCATTGAACAGGGTTAGATTTCTTCCCTTCCCCCTACAACAGATCCTCACATTTAATTAAACTGGAAACCTGGCTGTGCCTGGCTCAGATGGAGTGTTTTACCACTTACATCGTTGTTGCAGACAAGAGACAGTGCTGCTATTGCACAAGTGGAGATGTGGCTGCTTTGTACATTTCCTCTGGGAGGCTGCAGCTCCAGCCACCTCAAACAGTGGCAGATGAAGGCAGAAATCCAAGATTAGAAGCAGTAATTTCCATGCCTTCTATAGGTAAAACAATGCTGTCATTGATCCTTGATCCATTCACCTAATTGGAGGGGCTAAAACAAAACAAATGTCAGGTGAATGGGACAGAAGAGGTGGGTCCAAGCTCAGATCTTACAAGGATAGTGAGCTTCTCCAATAGCTTACTCCAAGAATGATGTCAGGCAGTGTTTGTTTGGAGAAAACAGGATGGCCATCCCTTCCAGACAATGAAATCTATATAATTGACAGCCAAGGTGAAATTGCACTATACAAAATCCTCTCTCCCACTGCCTGATCAACACATTTTCAAAGAACACACAATCAAGTCCCTCCAGATAGGAAGGGATCATCCCATGAATAAGACAAGATACTGGGCTGAAAATTCAGCATTTCATCTGGACTAGCTCCTGATAAGACCTTAAAATGGCAACAATATAATTTTTTTCCCAGAATATTCGTTTATTTAGATCATAAATTCTTTAATGTCCTGACCTTAAACTTAGCCTTTTCTCCATGCTGTCTTCACTTTTCACCCATTATGTGCTGTGTCCACCCACAGCCAGAGCCTATCTGCGCCAAGACAAGCCTTGCAGAGGGCTCAGTGGCATCCTGGAGCTCTTTGTGCTACAGCTGGATTTGGTTTCCATGTTAGACTAGCAAGAATTATGTTCGAATCCCATAACTGTACGAAATTTTCGCCTTCTCAAAAGTCATTTTCTTCTGACAGGCTGAATTCCTCCCCTGTGTCTCTTCTTACACTAATGTGGAGCTTTTCAGACAAAGACTTCAAACTAATTGTGAACAGCAGCAGGTTAATGTGATCAAAGGAGCTAATAGGCTTTCATATGTATTTACATGATTTAAGCTCCTAGATTCAAAGACTGGATCAAGAGATTTGAGATAAATTGCATGAGGATTATTTGTCTGCCTGTTGTGCAGCAGAGAACTTGTTTCTGCTCTGTTGGAAAAGTCAGTGGAGTATTTGCCTGGGCTGGGAAATTGAAGCTTTCTCAATAACACCACCCAGCTTTCCTCATCCATCATAAACACAGTGGCATTACCCTGACCAAGGTCCTCGTACAACAGAAAAGAGAAACAACCCCAGCTGTGGCCAGGCTTTGAAATGTTGGGAAGGTGCTCACAGGCAGAGTCTTTCTTCTGAGCAAAGAACACTGAGGGAAA